TTTTCTATCTGGACTTGACTCAAACAGCAAACCTCTGGATCTCAGCCTTCTGAGTAGCTAAGATTGTAGACATGAGCCACTAGCACTCAGCTGGTTATGCTATTTTTAAGACCTGTCTGTAAGAAATAATGAAGTATTTATATTTGAAGTGATTTGATGTCTGGAATTTCTCAATAAGCATATGAAAAGATGTTCAACATTACTAATCATCAGAGTGGTACAAATGAAAAAACCACTATGAGCTATCACTTTACATTCTTTGGTATAGGTACTATTCTATTAAATGAATACAGAAAATAAGTCTTGTTAAAGATGTGGAAAAATTGGAACACTTGGTCCAATTTTGGCGCTGTGGCTCAAGTGGTAGAGCACTAACCTTGAGCTGAAGAGCTGAGGGAGAGCTCCCAAGCCCAGAGTTCAAGCCCCATGACCGGACCCCCCCCAAAAAAAAATGAGTTCAAACTCCAGGACTGGCAAATAAAAGAAAATAGATGTGAGATATGCAAAGTAATCAAATGCATAAAAACAAAATAAAATGGTGGTTACCAGAGGCTGCTGAGGAGAAAAGGGCTGTGGTTCAATTAATAGCTTGAATTTTGCAAAATGATAAAGTTCTAGAAATGTGATTATTATTGGCATGGCTGAGTTGTGTACTTTATTATATTGTTGTTATACTTATTGTTGTTATTATTTGTCAGTCATGGGGCTTGAAATCTCGGCCTGGGCATTGTCCCTGACCCCTTCAGCTCAAGGAGAGTGCTCTCCCACTTGAGCCAGAGCTTCACTTCCGGTTTTCTGCTAGTTAATTGGAGATCAGAGTTTCACAGACTTCCTCCTGCCCTGGTTGGCTTTGACCCATGATCCTCATATCTCAGCCTCCTGAGTACCTAGGATTACAGGCATGAGCCACTGGCACCCAGCTTGAATTATGTACTTTAAAATCGTAACTTTTGTGCATTTTTACCACAATAAAAATATACAAAAAGGAAGGACAAGGTAAATGAAACAAAAATATCAACATTGATAATATTTGAAACTGGATAATGTTGTCTTGGAGGTTTAAGTTACAGTCTATGTATGATTAATTGTTTTTCCCATAATGAAACCCACTCCTGTGAGCTACTCAAGAGGTTGAACTTTGAGGATTGAGATTTGAAGTTAGCCTAGTCAAGAAAGTCCATGGGACATATCTCCAATTAACCACTGAAATGCCAGAAGTAAAGATGTGGTTCATGTGGTAGAGCACCAGCCTTGAGTAAAGAGCTAAGAGTTAGGGTTCAAGCCCTGAGTTCAAGCCCCAGTGCTGGAACAAAAACAGTTAAAAAACAAAAACAAAGCCAGGTGCTTGTGTCTCACATCTGTAATCCTAGCTACTCAAGAGGCTGAGATCTGAGGATCATGGTTCAAAACTAACCCAGGGAAGAAAGTCTGTGAGACTCTTATCTCCAGGTAACCACCAGAAAACTGGAAGTGAAGCTGTGGCTCAAGTAGTAGAGTACTCAACTTGGGCTGAAGAGCTGAGGGACAGTGCCCAGGCCCAGAGTTCAAGCGCCCTGGCTGACAAACCCCCAAAAATCAAATAAAATGTTAAATAGAGGGGCTGGGAAGATGGCTCAGTGGTAGAGCGCTTGCCTTGCAATGCATGAGGCCCTGGGTTCTATTCCTTAGCACCACATAAGCAAAAAGAAAAAAGCCTGAAGTGGCGCTGTGGCTCAAGTGGTAGAGTGCTAGCCTTGAGCTGAAGAGCTGAGGGACAGTGCCCAGGCCCAGAGTTCAGGCCCCA